CCAGTCTATGTATTGCCAGTGGAGAATGTCTGTTATTTGTCCTAAGAAGTGTCTGAGATGTGTTAAACGTCAGAGAGGCCATGATGCCCAGGATATCCCCTTGATGTCATCAGTGTCACCTGCTCTACAGCCATAGTCTGTGCATGAGTCAATGTGTGTGACTTCATGTGTTAGCACACTCCCAATTTGTCCAGCATGACGGCATCCTCCAGCGACCTGGCAAAAATACTATTATAGAGTTATCACCATCACATCTATGTTCACAGGAGCTATAAAATCTATTAATGACAGACTACCCTGGGGATAAAGAAGGATGGGGTCACAGGTATGCACAGCTTAGCCCTGTTGAGGCTAACCATAATGGGTACATAATACAACAGTAGTTATGTGTGGTGATTTATTTGCATCTGTGTAAGCAAACTCTTTCTCTCAATGTGCATGCCTTTCATTGCACCATTTGCATCAGGGGAAAATGGTTGACAACAGATCCCAACACCTTCTCTGTGAGCTAGCCAAATGCTTCAGAAGCTTCTGGAGCTCCAGCAACGCTGTGTTTGTTCAAGGCAGTTTATCTCCGTCAACAGATCTAAATTTACAGGACAATAAATTATCGCAGACCTGGATCTCTGGCTTGCATGCATGCATGTGCGCATACTCGTGAACACACACATTGTGGCTCATCTATCCCTGAAGAACAGTGTATTTTTAGGCTCTGTGTGGTATTATGACCTTCCATTAGCTTTATAGATAATGCTACTGGATTCTCAGTTGATTATTATCAAAACAGCCACTCAGGCCTGGTGCTTTTATCCTCACAGCTAATAAACACGTGGAAATGATATATAGATACATTTATTATTGAGAAAATAACCCTGTCCTTGTCTGAAAAATAGCAGCATTAGTGATGTATTCAATACTTAAAATCATAGCTGTTTTATGCCGAATATCAAGACCCACTGAGGTACCGTTAGCTCAACCAATGCTAAGTTACCAGTTTATTATTACATTACATTACATGTCACTTGTTAGATGCTTTTATCCAAAGCGACTTACATACATTCAGTACTGTGGACAATCCCCACAGGAGCAATTTGGGGTGAAGTGTCTTGCCGAGGGACACAACGACATGCTGACTGCAGTGGGACTCGAACTTGCTATCCTCTGATTCAAAGTTCAGCGCACAATCCCACTGAGCCACAGCTTCCCCATGATAGAACTATCTTGGTTAGTGAGGTGAATCTTTAATTCAACTGTGATTGCAGCTTGGTGACCATGCGAGAAATGACAGTTGAGAAGAAAAAGTGGAGGAAGCATTAATTGTAAGTACTGCAAAGCCTCATTAGAAGGAAGTTCAGTTGAATGCCTAAATAAGTCAAGAAATGTCCAACTTTTACACTGTCCTCACCCTGCCTTTCCCACCATCAGTCAATCCTTGTTTAAGTAACAGATTGTGTTCAAAAGCTTATTAGTAATGCAATGGTGAATGAGGGTTTTTATAATTTAGGCTGGAGCACTTACTATAAGATATTAGTCAAGTCAACTTTATATATATGGCCAAACATCAGATATCACACATTTGGGTACCACTTTACAATAAGACTACCCTTATAAAGGATTCATAAAGGGTTTATAATTAGGTTATTAATTAGGTTGTAAACACTTTATGAATCATTAAGAACCATTTATAAACCAGTTCTATACATCAACACAGGCTCACTATTTGGCAAGATGACTAAGCCTTATATTGGCTACTTAGTGAGAATCAACTCAGTGAACAACAGACACCAAGGATGCTGGCTGATGAAGAAGATGAAGTATAGATAGCCAATATAAGACTTAGCAGTACAGATAAATGTTGGCTCACTATTTGGCAAGCAACCGGTCACAGTTGCCCTGTTTATCTCATGTCTTATAAAAGCTTATTAATGATTTATAAAGTGTTCACAACCTAATTAATAAATGAATTACAAACTATTTGTAAACCCTTTATAAGGGTAGTCTTATTGTAAAGTGGTACCCACATTTGCTTAAAGGAGCTTTGCAATCTGTAAAGCATACGACACAATATGGAGATTATTTTGGACACAGTAGCACCCTCCATCCTTCCCTAACTTGCTTAATTCGATCTCCTTTTGGTCTTTATCATTCTCCCACCTGTCGCTTGTTCACGTTCCATTAACATGGTGTTCAATGTGTGTCCAATCGTGACTCTGCCTTGTTTGATGACAGGCTGTCCTCCCTGCTCCGTCCTACCAGGCGATGGGAATACTTGCTGAGCTCATCCCTGGACTGCTGACTGCATGGTGACAGCCCACAGCATAATCCCCACGAGGGACACATTACTGGACCATTAGTCCAACTCTTCCACCTACAGAGCATGCTTCCGACTTGCCTTTGGTTCATTCAGCCAATTCCCCTTTTCCCCTGTAACTTCCCTATCAGAAATAATCCTGAGTGATTATAATGTATCAAGACAGAAATCAATTGGATTAGTCAAAAACCCACCGCCTCTGTAAATCTCACCTTTATCCCTCCTTCACCCCAGGGTTTAAACATAGCAACCGCCTTCAGTACTTTTCCTCTGAGGAGATGGTTGCCAGATTGGACCTCGTACATCAGGGCAAACTTTTCTTCCAACTGACAACAAGGCGTTTGACTGTTATTGTTTATGAGGAGAAAGCTGGGGTCAAGTTCACAGGCTAGGAGAGAGAGAGAAAGTCTGTTCCAGCTCTGGCCCCGTGAGAGAGAGCATAACTCAGCCATGTTTGTGCTTCCCTAATTCCTTTTGATTTAGCAGAAAATTGTGAGCTAAGCCGCCGGGCACAAATATTCACCAGATCTGAGCTTCTTTGCCTCACTTCGCGGCCTCTCACAAACCTGTGCCACTCTAGTCTTGCTGTTTTTGAATGTCTGTGTCTGAAAACGTTTAAGTGTGTGTGTGTGTGTGTGTGTGTGTGTGTGTGTGTGTGTGTGTGTGTGTGTGTGTGTGTGTGTGTGTGTGTGTGTGTGTGTGTGTTTCTCCGATTCTGACAGCAGCCAGCCTGCCTGCCGAGTTTTAAGCAGAAATACAAATGTCTCTAAAAGGAGCTTAGCTTTAACAGCAGCTTTGGCATAAACACAAGAGCTTTTTTCTCAAGCTTTTGATGAAATAGCAGTTTGCGACATTCTATTAGTTTCAATTCCAACAAGGATTTTCCTGATTTGTTTACTTGTTTGTAGCATTGCTGGGTCAGCTGAATCAACTGTGGCATTCTAAATCCAATATCACAAACTAGCCGGAGAAGTTCAAGTCTGGGCTGATACAAATCTGTGTGAATGTGTGTCTGGTAACATTTTTAAAGTTTGGGATCGATCTTTGGATACTCAAAGTTGGTTTGTTTTGTCAAGGGTCATTTAAGGACAAAGAGAAATATCAGAGATTTGATGATGGATGACAGCTCCCTGCCAAGCCGACAGACGACCTGAAGATGCACACACACGCATGGGAAAAACGTAAGGATGGTCGCTCTCCAGGGACATTGTACTGTATGTGTGTGTGCTATATTCCAGCGCTGTCTTAGCACTCTCTGTCTTACACATGTGGTTCATATTTAGGCCATAGTGCTGTTCCACTGGACTATTTGGCTCTGTTCTCCCTGTCCCACATTCCCTTCCCATTCTTTTTTCTCTTAGTTTTATTTCTGCTGGGCTTGAGGTGGTGCATGGCTTCATGCATAACCAAAATTTAAATACGCATTTTGTAATAATAATTATAACTTCAAGGAGACTCCAAAAGCACAGACGTCCACTAAGGCTGCATGTGCCCAGATCTCGCAATCGTAACAAAGGTAAAAAAATGATTTGTAAATCTGCCCTGTGATTTTGATCCGCTCCAAAATGTAATGGGTTCTCCATGCTACACTATTCCAAGAAGTTTAAGGAAATGGGCCAGTAGTTCTCCTTTAATCTGGCAACCCAAACTAAAAAAACAATACCCCTGATTTCATAATAATTTAAACAATGTCAGGGATTTACTTACTTTATTGATATCTTAATAAAGGCACAGCACACATTTCTTAATATTTATGTGATAACAATGTACATTTCCCCTCTGTGGGACTAATAAAGGTATTCTGATTCTGATTCTGATATAACTGTGCCAGATTCAGCTAAAAGGAAGAAAGAATCTATCCGCAGCTGCTTGGCACATTGTGTTAACATTACCGTATATGTTACGCAGTAAAAGTGAACCGATTAGAGTTATGTCTGGAACAGCATGAGGATTACAATTACAATCAAATACATGCCCAGTAAATATGATTATGTTGGTTGTAATTAGGAATGGTTGACAATAACACTAGATGTTTAATATATCTGAAAATATATGCACTATAACATATCTGTTTTGGACATTTGGTATTTTTCTGCATCTATATCTTTTATAAAAAAGGGGAAAAAATCATTGGTAATTTGAATTTTTCCCCTGTGGTTTAATTATCCGGTTTTACTAGGTTGTAAAATGAAGGCGCCAACATTAATCAAAAGTAATTTTGACTGTGTGTATGGATGAACTCCTCACATTTCCAACATCTCAACCCCAACAGCATCATCACCTATCAACTGACACCTATCAACAACACACACACACACACACACACACACACACACACACACACACACACACACACACACACACACACACACACACACACACACACACACACACACACACACACACACACACACACACACACACACACACACACACACACACACACACACACACACACACACACACACACACACACACACACACACACACACACACACCTCCATACATCCCTATTTCATATTAGTCAAACTCTTTAACCCCTGCATCTGCCCAATGGGCGAGAGGAGCCGTCAGCGGCGAGCCCTCCCTCATCTCTCTCTCCCCCTCTCTCTCTCTCTCTCAGCTCTGACTGTCCACAGCGCACTGATAAAGGAAAGGTCCGATGCAAGCATCCGACCCAGCACAGAGTCACACAGCCGACAGAACTGCAGCAAGTCCCGCATCTGCCAACATTTGGCTCGAGCTTTGATTCGGAACATATCATTTTCTCTGAACTAAGCCAAAACTAAGGATAAGTGTTTGGGGGGCTGACTGGAGAAGTGTCATAACCGACATTAGTTGCTCGTCTCTTCTCAGGTGAAACTCCTGTCGGCAGCCACAAGTGCTCAGTGGAGAGTCTGGTGCGCACATGGCACCGACAACGCGCTCCTCACACTCCTGACAGTTGCGCTATTAATATGGAGCCACACACTGGATAATGAGGCCTACCTTCTGAATGGGTGCTTAACCTACTTCACATTAAATCTCGTCTTTTAAAGCCGGTCTTTGCCCTCCTCAAATCTTTTATTTTTCGGACATTTTTGTTGGTTAAAAAAAGAGCAGAACCATGTTGGGTTTAAACAGGATTCTGAGCCTCCGGGCTTCCCGGATTCGGAGCTGTGGTTCGCCCGTAGCCAAGCTCTCCCCCCGGTCTTCTTCATGTCAAAACTCCGGTGCCAGTTCGAGGATTTACTGTGCGTGTCTGCTGCTCATGCTGCTGGTGACGCCTCGGGTGGACTCTTCGTGGTGGTGAGTACTGTCTGCACACATCACACCTACAGGCCTACCTGAGATTTAACCTGGCCGAAATGTACTGTATTTGAATATTATTTGAAATAAACAATAACAAAGAAACAATTAACATTAATATTATTAGGCCTATTATTATTATCGATCTTAATCATTTGAAACGGAGCTGGGATTTTTGACAAGCATTCATTTTTTCGTTAAGATTTTAAAATGCCATTATTTATTTTCCAACAGCAGACAGACAAGGCCAGTATTACGTTTGAGGATCGTTAATTTATTATCGCAGACTCACTGTGTATGCGATTAAGTAATTGTTACTTTTAGTATTTATTTAAGCTATTCATTTTTTTGTGCATTTTTGCGGCAAAAAAAATCCAAATGCAATTGGTTTCATTGGCAATTATTAGTCATGAAAGTATTGCCCTATTAATTTTATTGGGAAATAACAGCAAAGAGAAACAATGAATGTGCTTTTTCTGTCAACACTTCATTTAATTAAAAATGACATGCGCCTGGAAAAAAGAGCTAAAACACGATGAAGCATTACAAGTGTAAAATCTAAATTATGATTTTGTAAACTAGAGTCAATCTTCTTTAGGATTGTGTTTCTAGAAGCATTTTCTTTTTGTGTCAGATTGTTGGCCTGCCACATTGAGCAATAATAATAAAGCGATAAATGTAATTTATTTCGGCGCTGTTGGCTGAGGCGTTTTCAACTCAGCTGGGGCCTGCGTCCAACAAGGCAGAGCATGCAGTCATTAATTCACCAGGTACCACACACACATGCACACGCACAGACCCGCGCACAAACTTCACTAAAATACCCCAAAACCAGCCATCTAGAGCATAGGTGAGGGGTGAAAAAATATCTCATTGCCTGCACAATAACATAGTGAAAATGTCCATGTGTGTGAGTGTGTTTATAGGAGAAGTGTCTGTGTGTGGGCGGGTATGGGGGTGATGGAATGCCTAATAGTTTGTGTAGATTAAAAGCAGTTATGGGGAGTAGTGGGAGAGAGTGTGTGTCATGGCTTTGGCGGGGCATTATTGGCTTTGAGGGGAATTTAGTGCAGGAGATACTGTATCTAACTGTTTATCAAAGTTCTGTTGGTGTGCAGTAAGTGATGATATGGATAGATCGGGGCCTTTAACACCACAGAGGGGGTCGCAAAGATTATTGCGGCATGTCACAAATTGACAAATGTTGGAAAAAAGCATGTATTATGTCATTCAAATACATCATAGCAGATGCTCATTGCAAACATGAATTAAGATTTCTTGTGAAATATAAAGAGAACCCACAGTTTGTATTAGGTGTCTGAACGAAAAGCGTTGTGCATGTCTTGGCCAGGAAGTTGCAAGTAACAGAAAAGCAAACTGACTTGTCTGTTGTATCTTAAGAACATTTGACAGGAAATCCCAAGACTAAATTGAAATAATTTGTACTTTTAATGACTTTTGCTACAAAAGTGTTTCTTGTGTGATCCAATAAGGCTTGAGAGGACGACAGGGCAACAATACGCCAATGTAATATCAGCTGCGTCATAGAAGCCTTTTCAATTTGTGTCCTACTTGTCTCTCTTCTATGATTCACAGTATAGTCCCAAGGCTTTACAGCATGTTGTTTTAGACCTGGGGATAATGATTTACCATCCTATAAAATCCACAAGTCCTCTTGACTCTCAGAGCGAAAGAGAGAAAATTAAGTGTGAATTGCTGCTCTGGCCCTTTCCTTTGATGAGCACTCTGTTCCTATTCCTCTTCTCTAATCCCTCTCTGGGGAGCAGAGAGCCTCCAGTCTCCATCCTCTTGCCCAGCCTCGTAAAACTCGACCACACAGCTACACGCTCCCTGACCTCCACCAGCTGACCCGCCAAAGCCCCGCAGCCACCGAGATGCACACAATGAGATCTAGAGTATATTTTGGGTAAGCTTGAGGGAGCATTTATATTGTTAGGATACTGTAAGTCTGTTTTATTAGGGCAGGAAGAAAGATTGGAAGAGACACACAAGAGAACTGTGAGTTAGATAAGCATTAGTGGGAAAAGGCAGAAGACAATACAAATAGTAAATGGGGTCTTAGCTTGACAGGGTTATTGGAGGACCCAGACTTTGTGCTCTGATTTGTGACGACACGATTTCAACTATCCCATTGGGAAACATTTAAACACACATGCAAGTCTTGTGGGAAGAGGTTAAGTGCTTATTTATTTGAAGAGCGGAGTAAATGGTTTCCACTCCCCTCCTGCTCGCAAACCTTAAACTGTTAAGTGTAGTGAACTCTGACTCACAGAGGACTGTTACCGCAGCTCTCCTTCAAGCCACTCACCACCTTTGAGTGTGTGTGTATCCACATGTGTACACACCTACTATATGAGGGCACCTATCTGTGCTAATTTATTGCAATATACCATCAATCACTCCTGCACCACATATTCCACAAGTCTTGAGTGAAGATGGCGATTTAGTTCCAAACCCCCTAGTAGTTTCTTGTGTGTTTTGCCTCCTCAGGTACATCGGTGCTCTCGGGGCCCGTGTGATCTGCGACAACATCCCAGGTTTGGTGAACAAGCAGCGGCATCTCTGCCAGCGGCATCCAGACATCATGCAGGCCATCGGCGAGGGCACCAAAGAGTGGATCAGAGAATGCCAGCACCAGTTCAGACACCACCGCTGGAACTGCAGCACGCTGGACCGCGACCACACCGTGTTTGGACGTGTCTTGCTACGGAGTAAGTCCATGGGTGTGTCTACACGTCTTCCTGTCTGATTACTGACTGTTTAGCCAAAGAGTAGAGATACTGAACCTGAGCCCCATCTGCTAAAATCTCACCCCTCATTCTCATCCCTTTTCTTCACTTTCGCTGCCTTATCTCTCCCTTTTCCTTTCCACCCTTCTCCCCTTGCTCTGTTCTTTCTCCAATCGTTCCTTCTCATGCTGACGTACGCTGGTGCTCCGTGTTTATAATCGCTAATGGACTGTTGTAATGCCGTATGCCTCGTCAATAAACACACAGGCTTCGAAACGCGGGCTTGTTGTCATTTTGTTTTTCCACTTCTGCCAGACCTCTCTGCTCTGCAATAGATTCATGCCTACACACATATGCACACAGTCAAACATGCATTTACCAAAATACGTATTTTCCTAGTTGCTTCTGCAAGTACAGCCATCTAACAACACAGTGTGAGTCATAGCTGAGGAACATGGCCTCTTCATCGAAACACCTGATAGCCTAGATGTCAGCTGGTTATTTTGCAACAACAAAAAAATGTATGACTGTTTTATAAGTGGTCTAATCTTATTACAGCAGTTTATTGTAGTTGATTTGGTTCTAGGGTGCACAAAATAAGGGGATTGTGTCAAAGACTTAGCATCTGAGATGTTATTGTTTCTCATCCATCCATTCTCAGCATGGACGGGGGTCCACGATGTATGAAGGAAATAGCAGATATAGAGATACAGGCTGCAAGTGTGTGTGTGTGTGTGTGTGTGTGTGTGTGTGTGTGTGTGTGTGTGTGTGTGTGTGTGTGTGTGTGTGTGTGTGTGTGTGTGTGTGTGTGTGTGTGTGTGTGTGTGTGTGTGTGTGTGCGCGGTGGAAAGAATAAACATTAATGTAGATGTAAATATTTAGAGAGATATTCCCACTGTCAGACAAACGGCGCAGGTTTGAATGATGACAAGCAATGCCCTCCTCCGTCCTCCCCCACATACGCCCCCCCAGCAGCATCCACTACCCCCTTCTCCTCACCCACGGAGATGGAATGGGACATTCCAGGGAATACAGAGCGAGCAGGTTGGATCACACAGACTCCTCTGGCCCCGGCTAGTTCAGATAGGTCTGCAGACTGAACCTTGCTTTCCGATACAAAGTGCCCCGCCCTAAGTCATGTCTAAATATTACTATCAGATAGTTTTGTGATGTTGGCTTGAAGTGCTGGTACTTGAGTGTAAGTCTTTTAAATGAACGTACAAAATCTTGCTTTTCTCGTGTATTAAGAGGTTGATTTGTCGGATGAAAACATGATTCGTAAATCTGATGTGTTGATAGTATATATACTGTATAGCATGAGGATTATGGGACGTTTGCTACAGCATTTAAATTCTTCGACTTGAGGTTCTGATCAGACTAAAACTAAAACTTTCCATGTAGACAGGGGTTAAACATTCTATTATTAATGTTAGCCTGAAGGCGGGGCTAAGAAATATTTAAGTAGGGTCCAAAATAGAAAGAGTTCATCATCTGGGGAGCATGAATGTGATTTTTTCAGTAAATGAAAATGTTGCTTTTTGCTTGCATTTCAAAAAACAAGCCAACTCAACTGCAAGAGCATGGTGCAGCACACAGACAATGGACATCACACACATTTTGCAATCTTCATGTCTTGAATAAGATTCGCAAAATGAAAGTACATTTTTTCGTGGAAAATTTGTAACCCATCTCCAAGTGACTACGTCATGTTAGTCGTGTGGAGCTCTAACAAACAAGATCAGCTAACAATTCACTCAAATAACAACACATGAGCTTTTAGCGTTCTGTAGGATTCCCAAAGATTCCAACCCCTGCGAGACATGTTTACTTTTACTTTACAAGGTGCACAGATCATACAAAAGAGCAATTTACTCATTGGGGAAACACAAATGTCACTTTAGGTGCATTCCTTTCTTCTATCTGAAATAGCATTTGAGTTGCTTTAGCTTTTATGTTGTGTAAGAGTACAGAGGAGCCAAGTGAACACCATATGTCTGTTAGGCTGTGACTAAAGGTGGACAAGTTCTTCTGTCTCTGGCTGTTGTCTTTTGCGAAATCCACTCCCACGAGTGCTGCAAAAACTGTGACTAACTACTATATCTAATTCTCTATGTGTCTTTGGCCACACAATAGATGAGTCATATTGTAAGGAACTAAAGAGACCCGAAAAGCACAGCAATGGTAGAAAATGCTGTCATGACATCATCCTGGCGCTGATTAATGGGGTATCACTGTGTCTGTATTTAAACAATTTATGTGAGCAGAGAAGAGCCCCGCAGCTGGGATTATTTCCATGATAATATTTAAACAGAGCTGTCCTATACTCCACATCAGGCCTGATATGCCCCCGTCAGCTGCACCTTCATGTCCTGATGGCTCAGGCCCAGACCGGGTTATAGCATTATGTGTATCTGTGAATGCATGTTAACATGTGGGATGTGCAATTTTAAGTCTTTAGATCATAGAGAATCTATTGTATAGCAAAATATGAATTATTGCAATTTCCTGGCTGTGGTTTTTTAACCTACTTCAGTCTAAACTCTTGGTTTCTTTTGTGCTTTCTGTTACTTTCTCAGGTAGTCGTGAAGCAGCATTCGTCTACGCCATCTCCTCAGCAGGAGTGGTGTATGCGCTCACTCGCGCCTGCAGCCAGGGGGAGCTGAAGACGTGTAACTGCGACCCTCACAAGCGTGGACGGGACAGCGATGACAGAGGAGATTTTGACTGGGGTGGCTGTAGTGATAACATCAACTATGGGATAAAGTTTGCCAAAGCCTTTATAGATGCCAAAGAAAGGACTGTCCGAGATGCACGGGCGCTCATGAACCTACACAACAACCGCTGTGGCAGAACAGTAAGTGTTCGATTACAACAACAAAAACACTTTCTCACTTCAATCTTGTGGTATATCTATGCAGATTTTGGCTCTTTTGCTTGCCAGAGATAAGATACATCTGCATCATGAACATCATTTCTACCTGGCTTTAAAATGAAATCTATGTCTGGCATTGATATGTGGCAAAGGAGAAAGTATACCTGTTTTTAAATGCAGTTACAAATTGCAGTGCATTCTGAGTGCATTTTAGATTTGTCACTTTTAAATAATCAATCCGTAATAACCTCCTCAGTTACTTAATTGTCAGTGTATACAGTAGGTGGGGTTTCCTATAAATCACTGATAGGAACCAGGTGGGATGCATTTGAAAAGAACCAGATTTTTGGTGAAACTGACAGCTCTTGGGCATTTACACCTTGTGTAAAACAGTTGTTTTGTAGGCGTTAATCCGGCTAGTGCTTATTGAGAAACAGCTTACAGTAACTGATCAAATGTTAGTTCTAAGTATATAATTGGGCCCATTGTAGGTAAACCTTTTGTTTGTGATGGTCACAGCTATAAAAAAGAACATTATGCCAGAAGCGCTTCTGCATTTTGAGAACCAAATGTCATGATGCTTAAAACCACATGTCCCTCATCTCTCTATGTTTTTAGGCTGTAAAGCGATTCATGAAGCTGGAGTGTAAATGCCACGGTGTGAGTGGCTCTTGCACGCTGCGGACATGTTGGATGGCCATGTCAGACTTCAGGAAGACCGGGGACTACCTGAGGAGAAAATACAACGGGGCCATCGAGGTGACAATGAATCAGGACGGGACAGGCTTTGCCGTAGCTAACAAAGCTTTCAGGAAGGCCACCAAGAACGACCTGGTCTACTTTGAGAACTCTCCGGATTACTGCCTACAAGACAAAACAGCAGGTATGACTAAACGGAGAGAAGACGAAGAGGGTGGACTGGGCTGAAAGACACAGAGAGGCAGTTTCTCATGGGTGTTGATGGATTACCCCGACTGTGTTATGTTTTAGGGGTGTTATGTGTATATTGTGTGTATGTTCATGCATGACTAGTGTGTTTGTGTGTGTGAATGTCAGTGTGTGTGTGTAATGGTAGTCGGATAACACATCAGGTCTCCTGTGTGATGTCGGTGGAAGCTAATATCCTTGTACCCTGGGGACATGGTCGTTCTGTGACCACCTGACCTCTATCAGTCTCTGTCAACACACACAGACACACACACATACCTTCATGGACTGAGTTGATCAGCCTTTACACAATGCACCATAGTTAGTTATGATTGTTTTTGATTGGCTGGTTACTGGTTTAAACACCCGGACAAACTCTTACGATATTTAGCATTACCACCTACATCAATCAGAAGCTCCGTGTAGTTAGTCCTCGTCCTTTGTCTGCCTCTCTCTTCGTCCATCCACCCCCTCTTTCTCACCTTCCCAGTGGAATCCACAGCCTAGGGACACAAGCAGCTAATTTAAAAAAAAAAATTGCTTCTTTCTGTCTGTCACAGTCTCTCCCTCTCTGTCTGTCTGAACTAAGCGTAGCTGGAGGGCAGAGTGGGCCTCAGAGTGTGAGAGCCTGTCTGTCTGTCACGCTCCACTGTCCATTTAACACACACACACACACACACACACACACACACACACACACACACACACACACACACACACACACACACACACACCACACCACACACACACACACTACACACACACACACACACACACACACACACACACACACACACACACACACACACACACACACACACACACACACACACACACACACACACACACACACACACACACACACACACACCGTGGCTTCAAAGGGAGCAGTGGCTTGGGAAAGGCAGTGTAACTATAGGCCACTCTACCAACACCGCATAGTTGTGTGTGTGGGTCTGTTGTTCTATGGGCAGCTTGTTGTGATAGGTAGCAGTTCAAACAGGGACCTTCTCACACAAAACACCAGAACTAATCTCTGTGGGGATGACATTCACATAAGACACAGACTATATGCCACTGCATTAGGTAATAGCCAGAATGTGAAACACTACCATACACTCGACTGACATGCTACTGAAGATCCAACATCCAACCAAATGAAAATCTAAAGGTAAACTACAACTGTTATATTGTATTGATGCAAATAACCAGAAGCCCATTCCCAGAACCTAAACTTGTTAACAGTATATTGAGGTCAACACCATTTCTCTAGGCAGAGATGGTTATGTTTTAGCTGCCCTAAGCCAAAGATTGTCATCATGGGTTAATTTTGTCATCTTTCAAGTAGCTGGGCAAACCATTAAAGTCAGCGTCCACACTGTACATTTGGGTCAAAATTATTGGAAATTGTTGACGATTACAATGTCTCTTTCTTGGTGAAAACAACTACAGAAGGACCATCAAAAAGCTGCACAGTCACAATTGCTGGTAGTAACATCTACAAGTCCAATATTACACTAATTGAATCTATTCAGCTCATCAAACAATTTATCGAATATCAGAAGTGTTGCTAATATATTGTCTTTTTGATTGACTATTTGATGCATCCAAACATTATATGAGGACAATAGAAAATGATTCGCCAGTTGTTGTTTTCTTAAGAATAACGGGCAGGGAAGTAAAACATAGCAGGCCAGAAACTTGCTTTAGTTAACTTTTAGTTTTTAATATCCAACCTCTTTTGTGCTCTATGCAGGCTCCCTGGGAACGGCTGGTCGAGTCTGCAATAAGACATCACGCGGCACAGATGGCTGTGAGGTCATGTGCTGTGGGCGGGGCTACGACACCACGAGAGTCAAGCAAATCACCAAGTGTGAGTGCAAGTTCAAATGGTGCTGCGCCGTGGAGTGTAAGGACTGTGAGGAAGCTGTGGACATACACACGTGCAAAGCTCCCAAACGAGCTGAATGGTTGGAACAGACCTGAGGACACGCCCCGCTGCCCCCTGTAATACAACCCCGCCCCTTTTCCCTTTACTACAGGACATCCTGTGGAACATGGCATTCTGGGAAAGATTGTATAAAAGTGCTCTGCGTCTCCGCCCTCCCCTGCCCCCATCTTGGTTCATCATTGCATGGCTTTTCAACCTGTCTCTGTGAAAGCACTAGAATTCAGTACCCATCAATATGAATGAACACCCAGAAGCCCCGGTTCGTGAATGGCCCTGTGACTGAACTGCTGGGATCAGAGGATGAACGGTGAAACCAGTGAAAACTTTGGGGTTTGGGTGAATTGGGCTTTTATTGAAGAATTAGTCCAGATGGCCTTTTCTCTAGCGTGTGGCTCTGGGTTAAGAATGGTTTGCTGCTTTCATGATGCTTTAAAGACACATTTTTATATTAACTGAGCCTTCAAACGTATTCAGTATTAATACAACAACATCATATACTCGCATAATTGTTTCTCTTTTTAGGGGGAAATACACTCTTTTCTACCCAAAACGAACACTTGGTTGGACTTTGGGAAGTAGCTTGACAAGTGCACTTTGAGAAGTGATAATCTAGGCATGAGTTTGACTCTGTGTGGACAAGCAGAAGTCCAGGCTATGGACTACAAGAAGACAAGGAGATGGACACTAGATGAATAAATGGACAGATGCATCATTGGGACTTTGAATGCAGCTGTATAACAAGAGAGGAAAAAAATGCTTTTTAAAGAGATTTATTTAAATTGTTAAGTGTTGTTTCATTTCTCATCTGCGGATGAGACTGCACTACATTGGCTGACAAGAGGAGAGAGAAGAGCACTCCCATTATTATGATTATACAGTGTACTCTAGTTTCAGTGTGTGAGACGACGAACTGCCGCTGAGGAGAAAAAAGAAGAAAAAGGAGATGGCCTGGATGGTCATTGAGTCACACATAACTACAACATCAGACTGTTTTCCCTTCTCTGCTCTTCAGCTTGCCTGTATAACTGTGTATATTGCCTTGTTCATATGAAATATATGGTGCATTAGTACGACACTGAAATCTTTGTTTTTTGTTCGGACAGACAAACAAAAAGATTGAAGGCAAAAAAAGAGACTAGGTGCAGACAGAGCAGAACTAATCAGTGTGACCGCGCAGGATAGTGAGCAAGTTTCCGTTGTATTGCTGTAATAACCTGCCATGTTATTCCCATCATACACACATACACATATATACACACCATCGCTGCTACTCACCAGCATGAGTTGAGAGACACTGGGGCAGTAATAATACAATCTGTGCCGGTAACAAAGGCTGATTCTGTGTGAGTTGGGGTGGGGTGCGTTATATCAGTCAAGGGGAGGGAAGTGTTTGATTAAAGGCCCAACCTAAACCCCAACCCCTGCTGGCCTCATCCCACCCCTCGCTATGTGGAATTCCAGGTGGGTCCCAGGCTAATGACTAGATGGCTGTAATTACTCTGGGCTGTTGATAGCTGGTGATTGGACATGGTCGTGCCACAGAGGACCTAGTGTGGGCTCCTGCTGGGACCACATTTAATCAAAGGCTTCTTGGCCGGCTTATCAAAGGGAATACTTTCCAGCAATCTTCTCTGCCTCAGCCCCCTCTGCTCCCCAGACTCTCAGTCCAGTTCAATCTCTGTTACATTAGAGCCCAGAGAATCCTGATAACATGAATTCAAAGGAATATTGCACACACACACAATGGCAATCTTAAGACGTGCAACAGAACTGCATAGATGCCTTAAGCATTTATTCGTTACCTTTTTACTCAGCAAACGTTTTCTTCTGTAAAGCTCTAACCCTGTATGCCGTGTTGGGCAATGTGTGCCAGTGATAAGATAATCTCTCCATGCCCAGGATTGGGACAGGATGCATTCATGTTCAGGACTGATTGGACAAACTAATTCCATGACACAGGAAATGCAAGGATCTGCCCTGCAGGTACCTTGATACAGGAAGCAGAAACACACTCGGATATAGAAAAACAGGCGAAGGACATTGAAAATACAAAATTGAGTCCCTTCAATCAATACAACCTCTTTTTATGTGATACTGCTTTACAATCAAAGTTTTATTGGACTAATATCATTATTTACTTTCAGTCAACCAACCGCCCCAAAAAGAGCCCTCAACATCTTAGAAGAGGTCTTTTAATAGTCACAGGAGGCCCATATCGTTAGATAAGATAAGCTTTATTGTGCCTCAGGGTAATATTATCAAGCAATTCTAGTCATTGGGACTATTCTAGTGCCAGCCTTCTGTGGCAGAGTCTATCTGTGTCCTGGATGCCAGAATGAGAACATTCCTGCTGCAGGGTTTCACAGACAAACCATTAGTCTTCACAGCTGGCAGGCAGTGCTGTAGGCCAGAGAGATTGCACTTGCTGAGGGCACAGACATGGCTTTGAGCCACATAGGAGATCTTCAACTTGAATACGTTTTGAATTTCTATCATATATGATGACATGCCTGCTATTTTTAAGAGACTAAGATTATTATTTATAGTGTAAGGCAAAATTGCTTTCTGAACTTTGAAAAAAAACAATTGACAACAAAGTTATACATAGATGTAAATGTACTTAGGTATTATTAATGAAAATAGAGTTTTCAGATACCAGATCAGCCGATTGTCATGGTACCCGGTCCAGCTCTTTGAGTGCGTAGTGCGTACCTGACCTTTATATGAAATCAGTATTGGTGCATGTCTGACTATTATGGGCATTGTGAGTGGGCTCACTTGGGATTTTAAGTGGTTTAGAAAAGTGGTAGTAAAATATTTACAATGAATGTCTTGCATGTATGGTTCCATTGTAGCAATGTCATCCCTGGTTTCAGATCGCAGAAACGTACTTGGTAGCTAAGACTCAAGATCCAAGTTGGAAATAACCAGAATTATCCTTTAATTCCACAGCAAGGCCAAGTTATCTGACTGGGACCAAATCACAGTCACAATTCCTCCAGCTCAAACTTTGGTTCAGTTAAATTTAAATTCTCTAACATTAATAGCCCATATTGTTTAACATCTTATATGCTTCTGTCCTATAAACATTTGCTCCATCATCCATTCAACGGAAGAAGCCTGTAAGATGATCACACTTGAATGTTTCTCAACATTGACCAAATGTATGTGCTTGGTTGGCCAATAGAAGCAGTGCTGAACAAGGTTTGGAGTTGTAGAAGATGTTATCATGTGTACACTCTCGTACACTATTTTATTATGTGGTTACCCTGATCAATATTTCCTTTTTCATAACCATTACATCACCCCCTTTTCCGGGACACAGCACGAGGCAAAATTGTCAAACGGAAACGTTATGTGGCCATACCTTTATACTGACAGACACATTTCTGCAGTATCTTTAGACTGTTAGGCAGCTCAATTATTTATATAATATCAACACAGTTATTCTCAACTGTGTCATCTTTACGTCTGTTCTCTCTCACTATCATCCACATCTGTCTCAGTACTGACAGTTATGTAGATTTATCAACTATATGTCCTAAGCTCTGGTTGCCAAATGACAACAACCCTGAGAATAGAAGACACACAACACTCTGATTACATACACAAACATGCATACAAACACACTCACACACACACATGCATAGCCTGGAGGTACATGGACATGGCAGACCACCACCACCTACACTGTATCAGTTGACTAAAACATCTCAAATCCGTCTTGAACTCAGCGATAGAAAAAAACAAGAGGTTTCACACAATAAGAAGGAGGAGTCACATGGATGGATGAAGGGGAGAGAGAAATGTATAGGGTTACCTAGAGACCTGACAGGCATGTTTATCAGCAGATCCTAATCTGGGCAGAAAGACCCGTGTTCCCCACAATTCATCATCATTACTCGTCCCACCTGCCACATCCCTCTGACCGCCTCCCTCCAACTTCTTGCCTCTGATACAGGCTTCTGTCTGAGGGAATCTAGCCGTAGACCTCACGCACAATTTTTTCCAATAACATTCACCTTGGGGTGGTCCGGGTGTCAGCCATGCGATCTGTTTCGTACACACATTCACACGTACATACCTGCAGGCTACGATAGGACCCCCTCAGTTCCCCCTGAGCTCACCTATCACCTGTCTGGTAGAACCGTGAGTATGTTAGCCAGCTCTTCTACTCTGTCACTCACAGTTTTGGACCAGAAAGTGTGGTGGGATGAGTTTACCCCTGAGGCACAGTAGAACCTGGGTCATTTTTGTCCCGAGTCTGGTGGAGGTCAGGGGTCAGAAAGTGTAGGTGCATCAACAGGGAACATTCAGCACTATGAGCAACCCCCACTGATCCGTCGCCTGATGACACCTCCTAAACATTAACGGCTTGCTCATGTAGCTATGCTCTTCTCTGGCTGGCCAGCAAATGGTTGAATTTATTATATAAAGACCACCTGCTCCGCTGGATTAAATGCAGGCCTTCAGTGTAGCTGCCTACAGTGTCAACCATTCAATTCATCTTTTATCCTTTGGCTCTGTCTCTATCTGATGGGAAGGGTGTCAGCCATTAGGTACTTGATTGTGCAGCTTTGTCGGGAACAGGTTTGAGTTGGGAGGCTGTGGGAGCAGTAGGAGGTGGAGATTTATTAGGGAGCTCAGACTAATATTTACGTGACCTGCCAGGACCCGAGGGGTGTAGAGACAGAGAGGGAGAGAAAGTATGGATTGCTACGTCTGCATTGAGGGAATAAGGGGATCATGACACAAAACACTTATCTCCAAAAACGTACAGAAAAAACTGCAAGCTTTGCTCTGTCATTTCCAAAAAGGGGTAACATGTAAAACATTTCGAGTGCTTCTATAATTGCTCCAATGACTGACACATACGACCGCATGCAGGTTGACCTCAATGGTTTTTCCATGTCATCCCCAATGTATCTGTGATATGACTCCCTCACTGTTAGGCCAGAAGTCAAGCTTAGTGTTGGATAGCAGAATACATTTTGCAGGTTCGGCTCACAGACAGCCGCCATTAGGGTTAAAGGACATTTGAGACAGACATTTAAGACAGTTAGTCGCGGTGAATTCTTCACCTTACAAGGTGTGGGCTGCAATGTGACGAGGCTTGTATATGCTTGTGACAGTGTGAGTGTGTTTATCTCCCTCCCTGTGTGGGAATTTACAGACACACCTCGCAAGGCACAAACAACGGTGACCTGGAAAAATAGTCGAAATTCCACCAACATGCCGGGGAATTTGGGGGTTTGTACTGACAATACACACGAACACACACACACACACACACACACACACACACACACACACACACACACACACACACACACACACACACACACACACACACACACACACACACACACACACACACACACACACACACACACACACACACACACACACACACACACACACACACACACACACACACACACACACACACACACACACACACACACACACACACACACACACACACACACACACACACCGAGAGACAGAGGTGTGGGAAACAGGAGAGATACAGGGTCAGGGTCAAATTGTGTAGGCCTCACAGACATAGATACCAGTGAGGGATACCAGCTGACACACACTGATGCTGACACTAACAGTGATACCATGGCTACCTGAATGACAATGATAGATAGTGCTGAGCCATCCCAGCATGCACAAAAAATCAAACCAAATCTTAGCTCATCCCTGTGACTTTTACTCAGCATTAGCTGCTCAAATGGGTAGGACTCCCTGTCTCCGTAAACCTCAACTATACAAAATTTAACAAAAAATATCGTCCTTAGCTTATTAAGACGGATATGGGTGAAAGGTGAACACATTTAGTAGTGTCTACCTGTACTCAAACATTTTCACAACTGAGTGTTTATTGTTGCTTATAGTGGAGAAGATGTGTTTACCACATCACTGGAGCCAACTTCTCACTCCCAGTCTGCTAGACTCCTGACCTTTAAATCACAAACCACTAAAGATACACACATATTCATTTGTACAACAAATCCCAAACGCACACCACACAAACAAACACTCTTATGTGGAATGTGCAAAACTGTCT